CAAATCTTTTCCATAGGATGTGAGGCTTAAGTATATTTTCAAACAAAATATCAACAGAAATGAAACCTGAATTGTATGGGTTATGAAACTAGAATCATGACCCTTACATATTTTCAATTAGAAGAAAGAAGTCAAATATAATATTTGAACTTCTTCATTCAATTGTCAAGCTAATTGGAAGAGAGCATAGATTTCATGTTTTAGCAATGATCCTATATGTGATAGAGGCTTAAGTGGAGATCACCGATCAATTTGTTTCATATGTTTATAGAGGTGCACGAGTAGCAGTCTGGGAGAACTTCAAGGACAATCCACCTTTTGACATTTCCACATAGCACCCAACAACGTATTATGAAGGCATGCAACAAGTTGTTTTCTGTTTGTGCCCCCTTGGCTGGGCCCCATGGAGTCCGAGATTTGTTGAAGCAGTGATATTTGGCTGTATCCCTGTTATTATAGCTGATGACATTGTTTTACCCTTTGCTGATGCAATCCCATGGGAAGAAATTGGGGTATTTGTAGATAAGAAAGATGTTTCAAATTTAGACACCATACTCACTTCCATTCCACCTGAAGTGATATTGAGGAAGCAGAGACTGCTTGCAAACCCTTCAATGAAGTAGGCAATGCTATTCCCACAACCTGCTCAAGCAGGAGATGCTTTCCATCAAGTTTTGAATGGACTTGCTCGAAAATTGCCTCGTGATAAGTGTTCACCTGAAGTCAGGCGAGAAGATCTTAAATTGGACTGCAGGCCCAGTCGGTGACCTGAAACCTTGGTAGCAGCCTTAACTCGATGCTTCTTGATTAAATTCTTAGCAGCCTGCCCCTTAGCCCTGCCAAAAAAGCTGGTTTAATCAAGATGGCTATTTCACAGAAAGTGTAAATCATGATTTTGCTTTCAATGTATCAGATTAAAAGATTCATTCTGCATGTTTAAGGGAGTGGCTATTAGTTGTATTCTGCCATGGGTGAAGAAACTTCAAACAAGGAACTGTTATATGTTTTAATCCCCTTGATGGACGACTTCATTGTAGCATATAATTATCTTATGCTGTGACCAAGTTTTAAACCTTGGCTAATTTGGTCTGGAAACTATTCTGTGTTGTGTTTCAAGTGACCTGGGGATTCACTAATTGCATTCCTGCTTTGAAATACTGCATAAATTGATTGAAAGCAATGGATTAGAAGCCACATGAGCTAAAAACTGGCATGTTCTTTGAATTGGAGCATCGTTTGTCTGTTGAACTGCATGTGCTAAGACCTCCCTGACCTTTTTCCTGGGTGGTCATGTTCACCGATTGAAACAGAATATCACATCCCATTTGGTTTTGTCGGTAGAACGAGAGGAGACTCATCGGCCACCGGACCAATAAGTGTGTTGGCGAATTATTTTGAACTAGATTCCAATTCTTGATACCATTTAACCTAAAATAATAATAGTGTGATATTCAATAAATCCTCTCAAGAAAGTAACCTCCCAATAAAATGTCACACAGACCCGAAATCCCTGAACGCCAAGAAATCTCTTTTTAAGAAAAATCCTCCAAAAAAATCAAACCTCACAAAAATTCCTAAGAAGAAACTAAAACAAATTACCAAAAGGAATCCTATCCAAAAAAAAAAGAGTGAGAGAAAAAAACGTTATGGTTTAATAAATTAATTTTAAATTAAACAATTGCTATCTAAAAATATATTACTATGCCAAAATATCAGAAGCTATAGGCATTTACCATAAAATTGATCAGAATTTAAAAAATAACTGTAATATTGAGTCACAGCTTGGATGCGAAATTTTTAAGTCTTTCAATAGAAGCTTTCATGGTTTACTTACTGAGCTAGAAAAGAAGGCGAAATCCCTTCTTTTATTGGCTGTCTAACTGTTAACTAAGGCACAATTGCATGAACATCACTGTAACTTAAGACTGTTGGATTTTGTACCTTCGTCCATCATTCCATGCATTGCTGCAGCGATGATCATGAATTTTTTTTTTCTCAATGTATAATTTTCAAGCATAACCATGTATCACTACGAGCATGATAATGAAATTGGTGAATTATTGAAAACAAAATAGGTATTGTTGTTAAGAATATAGAAGAAGAACCATCTTAACTTCAATAAATTATCAAGAATAATTTTATATGATTCTTTAACCTTTTTGGAAGTTCAGTGTTCAAACATTGTACTGCCAAAAATTCAGCCAGAAGATAGTACTTGCCCTCAATTATATTCAGTTTTCCTTCTTTCAAGCGTCCGAAAAAAAGAAGAAAACTCTACCATAAAAAAAAAGGATAGCCAATTCAGTTTTGCAAACTGGATCTTTTTACTATTTAGCATCTCTTCTTTGCTTGGTATCCAAGCCAGTGCACCCTAAAGTTTCCCAAAAAAGAAGACAATTATGTCCCTCAGGAAATCAAAAGGCAACTAATTTAAAGTTTCTTCATTCTTGCAAGTTGCAACCTTCTTTTATTTGCTTCCTGTTCTACCATATCTTATGTAATAATGATTTGCAAAGTTGGTAGACATGCTCTAAAATATATTAAAAAAAACCTTCCTTAATCACCTAATCAATCTCTTAAAATTAAGATTTATGAAGACATGAGCAATGCTAATAAAACTTTTTTTTAAACACTATTTATTTAAATTATCATCATCATCGTCGCCGTCATCATCATGGAACTGTGGAAGCCAACTCATAGGAACAAGGCTAAATAAATATCAAAATTATGAGCCATATCTCAATTAAACTTATCTTCAAGAAATTGGATCTCCAAAGGTTAAAAACTTCCCCATTTATTTTTTCCATCCACATTTTCTAATAGATGAATTCATCAAGAATGCACATTCTATGAAATAAAAACTCTATCGTTAATGTGAAGGAAACATGGTGTTTTTCATGAAAATATTTTCCTAATTTTACTATCGTTAATGTGAAGGAAACATGATGTTTTTCATGAAAATATTTTCCTAATTTTAGAGATGAAAGGATAAATTATAAAACTTTTTATACTGAGGGATTGAATTGAAAAATAATTTCTGAGCATTCAATTGAAATCCACCGTATAACTAGGAGCCTAATTTGAGACTTTTTCTATTTTTATCGTGGAAGAAATACCACGCTTAAAGTCATATTGATTGAATATTGTAGTGTTTCTTAATGAGTATTTTTAATACTTTTATTTTCACTAATTTATTTTGTAATTTGATGATTAAATTTATAAATTCACTGTATATTTTATATCTTGATACATTTTTAATTGTGTGTTTTTAAAAACTTTACACCATGCATGCATTTTTTTTTTACAAAACTGTTACACTCGAATTTATATACTTCCAACAAAAATGAATCAAATATATCAAAATTAGTCATATTACGTCTGCATATTGAGGTGAAAATGAAATTGAAGTTCACGAGTCTCCAATTTTAAATAATTAAATATAGAATTGATTTGCAATGACTAAACAATAGAAATGATTAATAGTTTGCATATTGATAATTGATAAAGTTCACGAGTCACATGTTCAAACCTTTGGGAAGTTTAGTGCTATGTCTATTGCCTATCAAGAAAAGAAAAAAGTGGGGAAAGCAACTAATTTAAAGTCTCTTGATTCAAGCAGCATCTCTTTCTTACTATTTTGCATCTCTTCTTTGCTTTGAACCCATGACAAGTACCAAACTCTTACTTGTACATGTAACTATGGTTTGCAAAAGCTGGTAATGCAAGCTTTAAGTTAAAGGAGATACATCCCAGAATACACTTCCATATATTAATTTGTAATGCATACCATACCTTTTTCTTTGCATGCTGCAACAACAATATGCAACAACTCCTATTTTATGATACCTTACCCAAAATCTACTGCAGAATTCTTTTCTCATAAGAGTCCTTTTGCTATTCATTTTAAGAGATTTTTTCAAAGATATCCACATTTACTTTTCCATCTCACAAAACAGTTTTTTCAAGGGTTCATTGAGAAAATTAGTTTCCACAGTTGAGGAAAAGATGGCAATGCTTAAAAAATTGTCTGAAGAAGTCTTAAATTTATGGAACAATTGGGAGATTCGAGGAATGGTTTTGCTTAGTCTCTTCCTACAAATCATCCTCGTCATATTTGGGTCTCGGCGAAAGACTACTCGCAGATTCTGGAACAGGTTTCTCGTTTGGTCTGCATACCCATTTGCAGACACGGTGGCAACTTTTGCACTGGGTTATCTAGCCAGGAGCCAAGGAGATTCATCAGATGACAGTTCAGAGAAAGCAAACAATTCCATCCAGGCATTTTGGGCACCTTTTCTACTCATGCACCTTGGTGGCCCAGAAAAGTCAGTGTTACGTGGTATGGGTGTGCTCGCCAGGCAATTGCGGTCATTGGGACCCAGTCAGAAGCGATGGGGGATTATAAAGGAAGTTTGGGTAGAAATGGTTGCATATGCAGCAGCTCATTGTCCATGGAAAGAACATACTCAACAACGGAGAAGAGGTGGAGAGTTACTCTCTCATGCCTCCCTACATCTTGGCTTGAGCGAACAGTACGAATGACGTCTTCTGGGTTGAATTGAAAGCGGTAAGTATACCAAAAATCCTTCTCTCAAGTACCTCGATAGATAGATAATGCATTTTTTTAGGCGTCAGAATAAAATAACAAATCAGATTATTTCAATTTATATATGTTTGTTTAATTCATTATTTTGAAAATTTCACTTGAATGTTTTCATTTCTTTTTCTTCATTTTATTAATAAAGTGATTTTAATTGGATGTCATTTACTTTAAAACGGTGAGATGATGGTTAATATTAGATATTTGCTTTTATTTATGCCTTCGTGTCTAAGAAAAATTTGGAATAAATGATTAATATTAGATATTTGCTTCTATTAACTGATAACTACTCCATTTTCTGACAATAAATTGATTGATGTTTCACCGCAATCTTCAACGAAAACAAAAAGGAGGAGCAACGAGAATATTTCATGGCTAGAGTAAAGAAGAATATCTCATGGCTAAAGATAAATATTAGAGAGGTATTCCAGGCATGTCAGGGTCGAATCTTGATGAGGTATGTTCCACTTCCATCTCAATATAAAACCTTCCAATTTACCCTATAGTTTTTTTTAACAGTTTCCATATTATTTTCTTAAATAACTATCAAAACTTTCAATTTTTTTTATTTATATGGGATGTTCGGGTTAGCTTGCGTGTACTATGATTAATCTTTATGGTTCACTGAATACCCTGCAAACCCAGTAAACATATAAATCACCGCAAAAATGATAAATATACATGTCAGAACTCAAATTTATATACTATAAAATGAGACAAGTCATTTTCACCGTTAAACCAGGCCACTCAGTGCTAAAAATAATAATTTTTTTTTAAATTATAGGGTTATGTTGTAATTTTACTGTTTTAAAAAAATAAATAAAAAAGCTCTTTTTTTGGAGCATAATTTTTCTTGTTTTAAATTGCAAATCAATTATGACACTGTAGCAAAATAAATATGTCTGGATCATTTTGTTCTTAATAAATTTTATAATGATTAATGCATCCTTTAGTAAAGATAATTGCACCTCTAATTACAATTACAAGTATAACCATTTTTTTAATAAAGGTAAAAGAGTAAAAACAATGTGTCTTGAAGCATAATGAATCACTGGTACTTTTTAGTATTGTTTTCGTAATATTATCCTACGAGGTTTTCTTCCTTTTTTTTTTTCAAAGGAAAGGACAAATTTTAAACTGGTCAATTTTCCATGCTTTATATTTTGCCACTCTCTCTCTTCCACTAAATTCAATTGCCTTTAATAGTTTTGTCGACTAACTAATAATCTGAATATTATAAGCTATTTTTTATGCCATAAGATTCACGTTGTGTTGTTTTATTTTCAGAAATACCTCATGCATATTTTCTTTGTTGCATAGGTTTTTACACCACACATTTTTTTATTTAAACCTTGTTTATTTTTATATTTTTAAAATATTTTTAAAAAAATAAATTTTTTAATTTTAAATAAATTTTTTAATATTTTTAGATTATTTTAATATGCTGATGTTAAAAATAATTTTTTAAAATAAAAAATATATTATTTTAATATATTTTTTAGCATAAAAATATTTTAAAATACCCCAACAAGGTTGCACTTAATTTGCTTACTTCGAAGTTTGAACATCATGCATGCATATAAAGTGGCAAGTTTTAATCAATTAATATCAGGAACCTCTATATCTATTGAAACGAGAAATTAAATTGAAATATATGAGACTCCTAATTTCTATTTTTAAATAAGAATAATTTGTATTGATTAATCAAAAATTTGTTAATTACTCATGTTGAGTTAACAATTTTGCTAATTTAAAGGAGTTGGAAGAACTTAAAAAAATCATAGCAGATACAAAGCGAGAGCTTGAGCAACTGAGATCTTCTTTAACTGCATCAACTTCACAGCAAGGAATTGATTCACTTTCAAGAAGTTTGCCAGCACAATCTAATGATCAAATAATGAGATCAGTTTAAGTATGGAATAAAGAATAGTAGCTTTTGTTATGTTGTGTCCATAATTATTTAAGTGAATTAACTTATATAAGTTCCTACTCGCAACAGTATTGTTGGGCTTCATTTTACATGCATGTATTGAAAAAATTACATTGATAGTCATCTTCTTACATAGTCAATTCTTGTCTTGTTATTGTTAATGAAAATGCCATAACATCATCAAGTGCCTGTGATAACCCATTTAGCTTTTTAGACTAGTTCAGGTATTTATTTAAAAATTATGAAGTTTGTATGAGTTTATAAAATTATGATATTTAATATATCAATTTAAAAACATGTAAACAATGATCTATTTATTCTTACGTGCTGGTTGTTGGTGTGAGCTGTCGACAGAGAATTTTTTTGAGAGATTATAAGGATTTTTTTAGAGAATAGAGAATGCAGTTGTGAAGGGATGGCTATTAATTCAATGGATCCAAAGTAACTGTATCATATTTACAATGATGAAAATTGAAAGGGATGTCATCGCTGTAATATATTTTGATGACATTGACACCTTACAAGCTTATGATCTCAAGAACATAACAAGACTTAAACAAGTTCGGAGGATAGACATACGGCAATAATTTTCAATGTCTATGGAGAGATTGATTTTTGTTGTCGAAATCCAATAAATGTGAGGTTGATTTATAAAGATATAATTTTATTTTACAGTAGTATAGAGTTTATAAATTCTTAGATGGACTAGATAATCCTCTTAACAAAATCAATGCAGTGACATATCTAGATATAGAGGTGGAAGAGTGACACTTTCACCTTGTATTTCATTGTCCAATACTGTATTAGTTTTATCTCTTTAAAATAAATTATTATGTATAAGCCTAGCTATTGAGAAATTAAAGTTTCCGTATGTTTTATAATATGTTCAAATAAAGTGTTTTTTTTATTAACATGAGTATCCGGGTCAGCTTGTACTTACCTTGACTAATCTCACGGGCTCTAAAATTAATGATCATGTAAACCTCTAGTAGTCTTAAGATTTGTGGGACTCGAACTAGTAATCTTTGGATAATAAACTCAGGATCTGACCAGTTAAACTACACTTTTTAGAGTTAAATAAAATGCTTTATTTTTATTAGATTAACGTATCGGGCAACTTGTATGTATTTTAATTAATTCCATAGATTTTAAAATTAACTATCATGTAACCTTCTAATAATCATAGAAGCTTCTAATAGTTATAAGATTTATAATAATTGGATTAATAAATCTAATATAACTGGTTATTCCTTTCAAGTTAAATAAAGTGTTTTTAAGCAATACAAAAGTTGATATCTCTTATTAAATCTGGGGTAATTAAGTTTGCATGACATTTGATGTGAATCTCAGGTGACCTTACAATGACCATCACTGTCATTTAAATTCTTGATTTCGTACCATTGTCCTTGCATTGATGCTACGACAGATAGAAGTTCTTGAGATTTTCTTAATGCAGAATTTCCTTTAGTTATAATCATATATATATATAAAGGTTTCTATTAGCTTTAGTTATAATCTCAATTAAATATAATGCTGACACAAACTTGTCCCTGCTGATTTAAAATGAAACAAAGAATTGGTTGAATTTATGCGTTTTGCTTTAATTTGCTGACCATCCGCAGATTTGCAATAAATTTGAAGAGTGAAATTTATTGCTTTCTATATATATATATATATATATATGTAAAGAAAAAGAAATATTGTGATTAATTCTTGTTAGGTGCTTAAGGAAAAAGGAACATTGTATTCCCAGAAATGAAGTCAGAAGATACGACTCATTACTGCACTGATGTTCAGTATTCCTTCCCTAAAACAGAAAGCGAACTCTGTCTATACAGAAAAGAAAATGCAATTAATTTAAAGTTTCTTCATCCTTGTAAACTGTTTTCTCTAGTGCCAGGGAAGGAGTGGAAAACTCACCAGCAAAAAAAAATAAAAATTAATAATAATAAAAATAGTGGATGAGAAGAGAAGGGAATGACTAGTAATTAATTATTTTCCAGCGGAGATGGCTTCGGTAGACACTAGATAGAGGAGGTAAATTGTAAAACACAGACGAGAAATGAGAGACGAGGCGGCTGGTTGGGGCGGCTACCTTTTGGTTTGGTGTCGGGTTATTTATATTCTCTTGAAGTGGTGGTTGCACCGGTGCGGTATGGTCTGGTTTATTAGGTTTTAGAATTTT